GGTTGCACAGCAAAACTCAGTCAGATGGACTCAGGTGCACAAATCCCAGGCATGGGGTTGCAACGGGCGGACCCAGTGAATGACCCAGTGAGCGACTGGCCAACCCAGCAAGGGCACAGGGTGGTGGGTTGACTGTGGTGGGCATTCGTGCCCAGATAGACCAGCGAGGGAGTGGGCGGTAAGACTGACCTAGCAGGCCCCAGCGGCATGAGGCAGCAGAGGGGACCGCCATTTCCCTGCTCTGACCCCGCCCTGGTTTTTATATATAGTATAAGATAAGGGTACAATTTCATTCTTTTATGTGTAGATGTTTCTTTTCCAAGCACCTTTGTTGTTCCCTATTTTGTAATATTGACACCCTTGTTGAAGATCATTTGACAATATATATCTGGGTTTATATCTGGGCTCTCTATGTCTGTTCCATCAGTCTGTATGTCTGGTTTTATGTCAGTGCCATATTATTTTGATTATTGTAGTTTTGTAATATGGTTTGAAATGAGGAAGTAGGAGGCTTCCAGTTTTGCTTATATTTCTCAAGATTGTTCTGGATATTTAGAATCATTTTTTGTCACATGTGAATTTTAGAATTATATTTTCAACTTCTGTAAAAAATGCCATTTGAATCTTGATTGTGCTGAACCACTTTAACTACTATGGTCATTTTAAAAATATTAAGTCCTCTAGTCCATGAACAGAAAATATCTTTCTATTTACTTGTGCCTTCTTTAGCTTCTTTCAACCATAGTTTATAGTTTGCAGTATATATTTCCTTCACCTCCTTGGGTAAATTCATTCCCGAGTGTCTCTAATTTATTCTTTTTGATGCACAACTGAAAGAATTTATTTTCATAGATGACATTATCTCATATGTAGAAAACTCTGAAGCTTTCACATACACACAAATTGTTAGAACTAGTAAATGAATTCAGCAAAATTTTAGGAAGGTACAAAGATGAACACAACAAAAATTAGCTGTCTTTTTATACATGAACAATGAACAATCTGAAAGAGATCTTATTTTTTTTAAGTCTCTGTGACAGCCTCTGTCTTTTAATTAGTACATTGGCATTAAAAATGATTATTTATACAGATTAATATCTATCATATTTATTACTGTTGGGTTTTCTTTTCTCTTTCCCTCCTTTTCTACTTTAATTGATTATTTTCTAGAATTTTATTTTCTGTTCTGTTTTAGCATATCAATTATATTTCTTTTTCTAAACTTATTAAGTGGTTGCCAAAGAGTTTACAATTTACATTTCCAAGTGATTCAGATCTACTTTCAAATAACACTACACTGCTTTACATTTTAGAGAATTAACATTTTTAAAATGTTCATAATACCCAAAGCAATATATCCATTCAGTGCAATTCCTATGAAGATTCCAATGATGTATTTCACAGAACTAGAACTAATATTTCAAAAATTTATATGAACCATATAAGGTCCCACACAGCAACAGCAATCCTGAGAAAGAACAAAGTTGGTAGAATCACACTACCCAATATCAAACTATAGTACAAGGCGATAGTAATCAAAACATCATGGTATTGGCATAAAAACAGACACATAGATCAATGGAACAGAATAGGGAACTCAGAAATTCTCCATTCCTTTATAGTCAATTAATATTTGGAAGAGGAACCATGCATGTACAATGGGATAAAGATAGTGTAGTCAATAAATGGTGCCAGGAAAATTGGACAGAAACCTTCAGAAAAATGACACTAGATCACCTTCTTACACCACACACAAAAATAAACTCAAAATGGGTCAAAAACTTTTATGTTAGACCCCAAACCATAAAAATCCTAAAAGAAAAACATAGGCAGCAAAATTTCAGACATTATTCAAAACAGTTCTTTATCTCATAGATCTCCCCAGGCAAGGGAAACAAAAGAAAAAATAAACAAACAGGACTACATCAAACTGAAAAGGTTTTGCACAGCAAAGGAAATCATCAACAAAATAAAAAGAAAACCTGTGGAATGGGAGAACATATTCACAGATATATCTGACAAAGGGTTAATATTCAAAATTTATAAAGTACTTACAAAACTCAACACCAAAAACAAACAAACAACCCAATTAAAAATGGGTTAAGGATCTGAATAGATAGTTCAGATCCCCGAAGAGTATACCCACATGGCCAACAGACAGAAGAGAAGATACTCAACATCACTAACTGTCAGAGAAACACAAATAAAAACCACAATGAGATACCACCTCAGACCTTTCAGAATGGCTATTATCAATTAATCAACAAACAGCAAGTGTTAGTGAGGACGTGGAGAAAGGGGAATTCTTTTCCACTATTTGTGGGAATGCAGACTGGTGTAGCCACTGTGGAAAGCAGTATGGAGAGAGCTCAAAAAATTAGAAATGGATCTGCCTTTTGACCCAGTGATCCTACTTCTGGGAATTTATCCAAAGGAACCCAAAATACTAATTGAAAAGAACATAAGCACCTCTTATGTTCATTACAGCATTACTTACAGTCACCAAGATATGGAAGCAACCAAGTGTCTTTCCATCAGTAGATGAGTAGATAAAATAACTATGGGACATTAACACAATGGAATACTACTGGGCAGTTAAAGGGGAGTTTACCATTTGAGACAGTATACATGAACCTGGAGAGCATTGTGCTAAATTAAATAAGTCAGTCAGAAAAAGACAAATACCATACAATTTAACTCACATGTGGAATCTAATGAGCAAACTCAACTAACAAGGAAAATCAGGACAGACTCATAGATGGAGAGCAGATCACAGCATGTGAGTGCAAGGTAAGGGGTGGAGAGATGAAGCAAAAAGGAAGAAAACTCACAGACACAGACATCAGTGTGCAGATTGCTGGGAGGGTAGGTATGAGGGGACTAAAGGGTAATGGAAAAAATACAATAAATGTTAAATTCAAAGTGGAAAAAAGAACTAATGAGAAAGCACATTGGAAGCTGTGGCTTCATCTTTGGTTTCAAATAAGTGGTCTTAATTTTTCTTCTTAGAGAAGTTTGAATCAGCTTGTTACAAACCCATCTGAACCATTCATTCCTGCAGCTTTCAGTTAAAGTCCAGTCTTTCATTCATACAAGTCTATGAGAAGTCACTACAGATCATCTAATTGTAAATATGATATAATTCATTTAAGTGCTGGCACAATCCTCACTTGTAGTACTATACTAATGCTTTATAATTTTTTAAAAAATTACAAAGGGAAAAAGGAAGATAAGTAACAAATTTTCATCAGTGTGGAAATGGGTAAAGAAATGATAGTGTAAAAACAGAACTCCATATATTCCAGCACTTCCACTTCCAGGTATTTACCTGAAGAAAACAAGACACTAACTTGAAAAGACACATGCACCCCTATGTTCCCTGCAGCATCATTTACAATAATAACCAAGACATAGAGCCAACCTAAAAGTCCATTGTTGGATGAATGAATAAAAAAATTTTCATATACATGTATATATAGATGTATTCATACATATCCCATCATATATATGTATATGTGTATATATACATATGTTAAATAAAAATAAGTTTATATTGAATATAAATAATATATTGAATATAAATATACATATATAAATATATACACACATATCCCATCATATATATATAATTGAATATTATTCAGCCATCAAAAAATAATGGAATCTTGCCACTTGTTACAACATGGGTACCTCAAGGGCATCACACTAAGTAAAATAAGTCAGACAGAGGAAGACAAATAACAAGTTCCCACTTACATGTGGAGTCTTTAAAAGTAAAAAAAACAAAACACCAAGCACATAGATACAGTGAAAACATTGGTGGTTCCCAATGGCAGGGGGTAGAAGGTTGGCAAAAGGAGTAAAGGAAGTCAAAAGGCACGAACTTGCAGCTACAAAATAAAAGTCCTGGGGGTGTTGAGCACAGCACAGCCACTGTAGTTAGTAATGCTGTGCTGCATTTTTGAAAGTTGCTAAGAGAGTAGATCTGACAAGTTCTCATCACAAGAACAATTTTTGTAACTATGTATGGTGACAGATAGTAACTAGATGTATTGTGGCAGTCATTTTCCAAATGTACGCAATAATCAAATCATTATGTTGTGTACCTGAAACTCAATTCAAAACGCTGTGGTGTAATGAGAGAATACTACATAGCTGTTAAAGCCAATGAACTAAAGCGACAAATAGCAACCTGGAATAATCTCAAACACATAATCCTGAGGTTCTTCTTCAAAACAGTTCTACAATAACTCTTTTAAAACAATAGTTATATTAATATTCACAACATGGCATGAATGGATAAAAACTGTAGTAAACAGAAAGATGTAGCCTGGAAGGATGAAAGCAAAGGTCTGACTAGTATCTCCCTCTGGACATTGGAAACATACCTCTTCAGTGCTAATCGCCTATCAGGGACTAGGGGCAGTGCTAGGAGCTTTGATGTAAGGCTCTTACCTTGTGTAGATGTTTTGCAAACCAGTGGATTCATTTACTCACCGCGTATTTGGTACTTAACCTGTCTGTGTGCAAGATGGGACTAAGAAGAGCATCACACAATTTGGAGAGAGTCATTTCTACAGAGGGGCAAGTGCGCTGTCTAGTGTGTAAGTGCACAAGAAAGGTCAGCAGCTTCTGTTGGCTTGACTGTTTACTGAGCAAGGTTCAGATCCCAGAAACTTGTATGAGACCGTGATTGGAAAACACGGAGCTCAGATGTCTGTGACGCTCTCTGAGATGCCTTGACACCATAAAAGCAGGAGCCACAGCAGTCCTAGGATAAGACTTTCCAAGATGAGTGCGGGTTCTCCCTGGTATTCAGTGCCTGGCATCTGGCCTGCTGCTTGGCTGGGTGGGGAGGGGAGGAGGGCAGGGAGGGGCAGAGGCAGCAGGAGCAAGACTCACACAGTGTCGCTGGTGGAGGGTGGAGGGAGGAGGGACGGGGCCAGGCGAAGTTCCGGGACACAGTTCTGTGAGGCGGGGCCTGGCAGATAAGGAGGGGCGGTACTGAAGGGTTTGCAATGACAGAGACAGACAGGAACTTCACCTGCCCAGGGCACAGAGAAGCAAGAAGTTCGAGGCACGCTCTGGGCGATGGGCTCCCTACTGGCGGCCATCTGGAGGGCGCTCAATCCCAGCACTCTCTTACTCGGTGCCCTGGTCTTCCTGGTCCTTGCAAACTTCTTCAAAAGACGACGGCTCCCAAAGAACTACCCTCCAGGGCCCAGGAGTGTGCCTTTCTTTGGGAATTTCTTCCTACTGGATTTTAAGCGGCCGCATCTGTCCCTTCAGAAGGTAGGAGCAGGCTGAGGTGCTGGACCCCGAGTCTTGACTATGACCTGCAGGTGGAGGACATCCTGGGGACTGAGAGCAGGAGGATGGGTGGCTCTGCTGCTAATGCCAGTCCTCTGGTGAACCCCACTTTGAGCCTCGTTTTCCTCGACTGGCAGGATTTTACATGCCCTTTTTAGGGGTGAAATACTGTTAACTGTTTACCATTTGTGTGCTAGGCATATTACTTCAACTCGTTTAATGGTGTCTTGTTAAATATTCTCAGAACATCGTATTGTAATATGATGTCCTCTTTAGTATCAGTATCCTTGGGGGGAAAAGCTGTACTTTCCCTCTCTCCCTCTCGAATGTTCCATTTCCCACGTGTAAAGTAATAATACCACCTAATTCCTTACCAGTTTTCAAATGAATTTCTCCCACCACCAGGATGACTGAGCGCCTCCTGTTCTTCAAGCATCTGTCAGGAAGTAATTGTGCAATATGCTAAAATGTCTTTCCTCAGCTCAGATGTTTTTAGCGCTTAAGGATGTTTCTCCTTAACAAGTTCAGTCTCCATCTGAAGCCACTAGGAACTTTTAGGACCTCTTTTCACTTCTTTATAATAATCTCCCATCAGGGGTCCCTAACTGGGACCACTCTAAAATCCTTAAAATTTTTTCTCCAACATCTAACACTTTCTCAACAATCCTCAACTGGTTTTCTGCCTCTCGGCACAGGTTCCTTGCTGAGAGGCAACACTGTGACAGGTGGTGTTTGAAGATGAAATAAAACAGTGAAGGGTCAATAGTAACATGACTCATACCAGATGTGCAAAAAGATTAGTTCCCCTAGAAATGCCTGGAGCACTTTAAGCATGTGCCTATTTACTCAAATTGGGATGGGGAAGGTTTTATCAGTTTCTGGAAGGAACATCCAGTTGGTAACACTGGCAGCATTAGTCACAGAATTTTAAAGGTAGGCTCCTAAATCTCTATCCCAGTTTAAGAAATGCATTGTTTAATTTCCAAGAATTGGGAAGTTTTCCAGTTTTCTTTTGGTTAATGATTTCCATTTTGATTCCATTATGGTCAGATAACATACTTTGTATCATTTCAATTTTAAAACTAGGTTAAGTTTGGCTTTACGGATCAAGCGACACTCTCATGCATGCTTGAAAAAAACAAACAAACAAAACGTGTGTGCTGGATGTATATGGATTTTCAACTGTGCATTATGTCCAAGTCCCCAATCCTGGCTTTGTTCAAGGTCATCTGTATTCTGCTGTTGTTAGGCAGAGTGTTTAATATGTCAATTAGATTTTTATTGTTTGACTGTGTTGTTTAATTCTTCTATACCCTTTCTGACATTTTATCTATTGGTTGTACAAATTACTAGGAGATTCATGTCATAATCTCCAACTCTGACTACAGGTTTGTCTATTTCTCTATACACTACTGTTTATTTTTCCTTTATGTATTTGGCAGCTTGTTTAGGGGGTGAATGAAGGTTATAATTGTCGTGTTATCTTGGTGAATTGACTCACAAATTGTTAGGTAACATCCTTCTTCATCCCTGGTGATTTTCTCTGCCTGGACTTTAGTTTATGTGATATGACATAGTCAATGCAGCTCTTTTTTTCATTAGTATTCGCATGGTGTATGCTTCTCCACTTTCTCACTTTTATCCTACTTGTATCATTATATTTGAAATGTTTCTTATAGACAGCATATACTTGGGTCATCTTTTTATTTGTCAATCTCTTTTAATTGCTGCATTTACATTACATATTTAAGTATGATTATGAATATATTAAAACATAAGTCTGCCATTTTATTTTTTCCTATATTTCCTGTTTTTTATTCCTGTTTCTTCTTTCCTGTCTTCCTGTGGGTCACTTGAACATTTTTTCAAGAATCTATTTTATTTTACTGTTTTGAGTATATCCCTGTATTTTGTTGTAAGTGGTTGCTCTAGAGATAGCAATTTGCATACTTGGCTTTATTGCAGGGTCCTAGTCTCAACATTTCACCACTTCAAGTGGAATATGGATGACTTGTGACAGTTTAGGTCTCCTTAGCCTCCATGTTTTATAATATAAATGTCTAAATATTACCTCTACATACATTGAGAACCAGATGAGACAATATTATAATTTTGCTTTTAACTGGGAAACACAGTTTTTTCATTCAAGAGGAAGAGAATTTGCCATTTATTTACCCTTTTCTGTTGCTCCTTCCCCACTCCCAGTGTTCCGAGTTTTCTACCGTTACTACTCCTTATCCCTCAAGGACTTCCTTTAATCATTCTTTTAGAGCTGGTTTCTTAGAAAAACATTTTCTTCCCTTCTATTCATCTGATAATGTATTTCGCCTTCATTTCTGCAGTGCATTTTCAATGGATATAGAATTCTAGGTCTACAGTTTCTTTCATTCAACACGTTTGTACCACTTATTTCAGGCTTCCATGTTTTCTAATGAGACATCTGCTGTCATTTAAATTGTTGTATCCCATAAGCAACGAGTTGTTCTTCTCCACCTGCTTTTAAGAACTTTTCATGTGTTTTTAGTTTTCAGAGATTTGATTATGATATCGCTGGGTCTTAAATTCTTTGCATTTATTGGGTTGCCTGAGATTCTTGAATTTGTAGGTTTGCCTATTACCAAATTTGAGAATTTTTCAGCCATTATTTCTTCACATATTTTTTTCAACTCCACATGAAATTTTCTCTATTTCTGGAACTCTTGGACAGTGATGGCACAAATGTTAGACCTTTGGTTATTCTAACACAGTTCCCTGGACCTCAGTTTTCTGTTTCTTCCAGATTTTCTATGGATCTCTCTTTAATTTTATTGATTCATCTGTCATTACCCCTCAGCAACTGAGTTAGTCTATTATTTTTTTGGTTTAGATTATTGTATTTTTCACTTCTAACATTTCTCTTTGTATATTTCCTTTTTCTTTAAGAATGCTTACATTTTTATTTTGGAGCGTGTTTATATTTGTTTACCAAAACATTTATAATAGCAGTTTTAACATCTTTATCCTGTAATTCCAACATCTGTATCATCTCAGTATTTGTGTCCACTCATTAAAGTTGAGATTTTCTGTATTCTTGGTAAGGTGAATAATTTTAAACTATATCCTGGATACTTTGTGCATTATGTTATATGACTCTGGATACCATGTAAATCTTTTATTTTGGCAGGTTATCAATGGGTTTATGGTCAGAATTTTCACTTTTGTGGATTGTGGTCCAAATGTCAGTTTAGGTTCTAAACCCCTGCCGTGCTGTTTTGGTCTTCCACCCTCTCCCCACCTCTCCACATAGTGTGTTGCTTGTAAGAACCCCCACAGGACTTCATCCTCCATTCTCATCAGGCTAGAAAGAATGAGCACAGGGACAATGAGGATGGCTTGGTAGCCCCTTCCTTACTGTGGGGGAAATTGAAGTCAGAGATCTACCCATATCTGCTCCATGGAACATCATGCCTCCTTATTACTATACAAGAGTGGAAATCAGGAGTTCATGGGCCCCAGGGAACTCATGAACATCTGAATCTGCACGCATAACTATGCATGCATACAGGACTTTACTGGAGAGCAGATCCATGGCATACACTAAAGTCTCAAAGGATGCTATGACAAAAAAGTTAAAAAGCACTGTTACCAAGTTTCATTTCTTATTTCCTTAAGTTTCTTTTTGTCTTTTGCTTTATTGGAAAAAATACTTTCTGACTATAAAAGCAACAGACACACTTTGAGGTAGTTTAAAATACAGTTCACTGAACGAGAAACATTCTTCCCCCTCTGGCACCCACAACCCCAACACACACCCACACACTCACACATACAGACACACACACCAGCTCTCAGTAATTCCTCCATAGGACTTTGGTCTGTATCTTTTCATAGTCCTGTGTAATAAAAATAAAATGATGCTCATTTCTAACAGTTTATTTGGGCTTCTATATATCAATAAAATAACATTGAACTTTGGATACACAAAAATATTTAGAAAACATAAACAGAAAAAATTTAAAATATAATATAGATATTGGCAGAAAGGTGTTAAATCTTAGTAAAATACATAAGAGACTTTTCTTTTGTCTATGGGAATGATAGACAGATGTGTGGGCACATGTGCACACACACTGCTCAGGGCTGGTGAGTGTTCAGAGGAGCCGGACCTCCCACACACAGCTGGTGGGGCTGAGAATTCGTACACACTCTTCCTTTTTTTTAATTTCACTTCCTTGTGTCTTTGTCCTGATGGTTCTGGAGTTTAAGTACATAGATCAAGTAGAACCTCGCCCAACCTTTTTATCACTACCCTTCCACTTGTAATTGAACTTTATTCTAAATATTTATTTTGCTCCACCTAATTATTTAATTCTACATTTGAAAATTTCACCCCTCATTTGAATTTCCTGTCTCTTAACTATTTTTATTTGCCCCTCATATAGTTGCTATGATAATGCTTTTCTCTTTATTTTTCTATATTTATTTTTTAAATATAAGCCTGTGTTAGCCTTCCCAACCATCTTATTTTTAACCACACGCATTCTTTTACTGTCTGTTTTTAAAAGACTTGTTTAAGGTCATACATTAAAAAGTATGAACTGCCCTGGCTGGTATAGCTCAGTGCATTGAGTGCGGGCCTGTGAACCAGAGGATCAAGGTTCGATTCCCTGTAGGGCATGTGCCTGGGTTGCAGGTCAGTTTTCAGCAGGGGTCCCACCAGAGGCAGCCATACATTGATATTCTCTCTCTCTCCTCCCTTTCCCCTCTAAAGATAAATAAATATTTTTTAAAAGATTAAAAAAGTATGAACTATCTTACAAAGTCTTCTGAAATTTCCTCTGAGTTGTACATTTATTTCCATGTACAGCAATTAGCACAATGACCAGCACAGTGTATTTAACAGTTGTTAGGTATCACCAGGGTTTCAGGGGGTCCATTGACCTGTCCATGTTTGCACAGCTCATCATACCATAAAAGTTTGTTGTGCAGTGATCTTGGACTATTGAAATACAGGGGCATGGATATATCAGAGATGGAACTCCAAAGAAATTCCTTCAGTAAATGCTAATGGAGTGCTGACTACCTTCCCAGTACAGGCTGAGAATCTAGGTTGTCACTGAGGTTAATCGGAGATTTTCAGATGTTCTAAAAACATCCTTATTGAGTATTCTAAAGTAGTCAAGAAACCCTTCTGTAAAGCCTAAGAAGTATGTCCCAGAATTCAACAAGATATCCCTGTAGTTTCTTAGCAGCAAACTAACGAGGTAGAATCTTGGCTCTGCCCTTTCTAGCAAGACAGGGTATGCTGTGCTAGAAATGAACAGAGACTGATGGAAGACTCTGGCCCAAAAGAGCAATGGAAGGATTGAGTTCAGTATCAATTTTTTAAATTTATTTTTTATTGCATTTCCCATTACATTTTATCCCCCTTATGCCCTCTTCTGCCTCCACCCATCCACCCCAATTACCACACTATTGTCCGTGTCCAAGTGTCCTTTTTCCCTTTTTTGATTCCTCCACTCACTAACCACCCCCCAAAGTGGTCAGCCTGCCCTTTCTCTATGAGTCTGTCTTTACTTTGTTACTTCACTTCTTCAAGATGCCGCATATGAGTGAAATCATATGGTACTTGTCTTTCTCTGACTGGCTTATATGTTCTCTAGGTCCACGCATTCTGTTGCAAAGGGTAGAGTTTTCTCCCTTTATATTGTTGAGTAGCATGTCACTCTGTAAATATATTGTGGGAGAGGGGTGGTGGAATGTGACCAAATCCATTGTACTTGCTCCAATGGGCCTGATGGGGTCCAGGGAAATAAGGGGCTCATGGAGATCATGAGTGCATGGACATCATGGAGATGAAGCTCCAGGCACCTGGAGGAAATGGAGCCCTTCTATTATATCCCCTGCCTGCAGACAGACAAGCCCAGCGGACCAGAGGCAGGGACAGGGTTTACCAGGAGTCCTCTCTTGAATAGGCAGGTCAGGAAAGACTTTGACAGGTGACCACTCCCTGTCATTTAACCTGTCTTGTACACACCTGCACCTTTGTGCACACTCATGACACACCCACTCACCATTCCATTCTCCCCTCTGCCCCTCTCTCACTCTCACATTCACTCTCTCACTGTCACTACGCTCTAAGGACCCCACTAAACTCTGAGGTCCTGGTACCACCTCAGATGCACATTCTTTTCCTCGAATCTTACATAATGCCTGAAAAATCCTTCCACCACTCAATAGCTTTGTCACCTTGGCTACATTACTTTAGCTATGACATGTTTTCTTTTTCTGAAAGACAAGGGAAATCCTTACTACTGTAGGGTTTTGTGAGGTTGAATCAGATAAAAGATGAAAGTTGCTTAACATGGTACCCAGTGGCTGGGTCTGTCTAAGACCAGGAGTGCCTTCCTCCCACACCTCCCTGGGCTCTGGTTCTCTCTGTCTCCACAGATCACATTCATTCCTCACAAACTCCAGCAGCTATGCACCAGGTACCAGGAAACAAAGTGCCTTTCACATTGCTGCTCCCATTCTTTCACAGAACCATCTGATGGGGGGACCATATTCTGCCTTTTATAGCTGGGGAGCTGAGACTCAAAATAATGAGGCAATTTTCTCAAGAGCCCACAGCCAGTGAACTGTACAGCTACAATTCATACACAGCTCCAGAGCTGGAGTACTTTTCTGCACACCTGGCCCCAGCCCTGGAATGCATTCTGTGTCTTCCAGAGTGCATGTTGAGAAAGGGGACTTCTCTTTTGTTTAAACAGGCATGATTTAGTAAGAAATCCATGCTTGCTATTGCAGACTTACACTACACAGATGTCAGCCTTCTTTGGTGAGCCACAGGTGCTAAACTCTGTTCACTAGACTCTATGATGCTTGAGGTTAGAGCCCTCATTTATTTTATTATAGTTATATCTTTGTAACTCATTTTCATGATTGTGGAAGATGGTTACAAAATCCATATAGGTTGACCATATGAGAAAATGTTTCATAATGTATGTTCATGTCCTATAGTGAATTAAATCCATGTGTAGTGGAGAAGACGAGGAGAATAAAACAGGGAGAAACATTCCTGTTGGCTCAAAGAGAGCACACACCCATGCTCTCAATACAAGCCCTCCAGCTACACACTTCCTTCTTTCTTGGACACACAAAGATGTGCATATTCACATCTGACTATTTATTTTTCAGTATGTGAAGAAATATGGGAACGTTTTCAGCATGGAGTTTGGTATCTGGCCTACAATTATTGTAACTGGATTGCCCTTAATCAAAGAGGCCCTTGTCCACCAGGGCCACAAGTTTGTTGACCGCCCCATATCCCCCATTCGAGAGCGGATCTTCCAGAAAAATGGTAAGTTTCTGGACAATGTCAGATGTGTATGTTTAAAAATTCTAAGGTGTGTTAGTAATGCCTCTGTGGCTAGACCTCTCCAGCACACCCTACAGACCCCACCCATTATAAATTCCTGCCTTTAGTGGAAGCTTGATGCTCTCATCTCCCTACAAAGGTTCCCTCTCGAAGGATTGTGCTGGATCAGCCCTAATGTCAGGGATTTAGAATAAACTGAGTCTCCTGGGTGAACTCACTGTCACACTTTGAAAAACTACTGACCAGACTTTGATAAACAATGCAGTATTCCATGATGCAGAGAAAGAGCCAATACTTTCTCTTTTTCTGGTCTCTCTTCCACTAGGATAAGGGATGTGGATCTGCTTCCTTCTGCTGGTTTGGCCATTTCTCCTTCTTGACTGTAGGTCCTTATCCTTCATCATTAAGGTTGTATCCACAGGCTATCTCACGCCTTCCAGTCTACACTAGAACAGTTTGGCATGGCATGAATAGTGTAAATTATCATTAAATGAACTTAAACATTTGAAAATCTAAATAAAAACTGAAATTTATTACTCTATCAAAGCACAGTTTTTCAGATGCTTCCCATTCCTCTTTGAAACATTTTATCTATTAACTTTACATCCATCTACTCTATTATTTGCAATGTGAAGCACAGTGCTAAGCACCAGCAATAAAACAATGAGTAGGACAGATAAAATCCATGTTCTTCTATAAGTCAAGTTCTATTCAGAGAAAAAGACTATTAACTAACTCTAATAATTTAGAGCTGTCTTGTAGATATATGCAGAATGCACTTATTAGGGTTACCTAATCTAGCCCTGGGATTCAGGGAAAACTAATGTAAGTGACATTTAATTTAATGAAGTCAAGAAGAAATCAGCCATTGGGAATAGAATACAAGAAGTCCTTAAGGTGAGAAGAAGCACAGTGAACTTGAGGGAATGAAAAAGTGGCCAATGTGGAAAGAACAGAGATCAAATGGAATAATTAAATGGAGATGAAGCTGCAGAGGTTGGCCAGGAAGAGTTTATGCAAGTTCTTGATAAGGATGTTGGGTTTTATCCTAAAAACAAAGAAGCTCTTAACTGGTTCTCAGTAGAGAAAGGAATTATCATATAGACATTGTACATTTTAAAAACTTGTTTTGGTTGCAATGTAGTGACTGAAATAAAGGAAGCAAGAGACTGCTGCAGCACTTCAGGTTAGAGAACGTGGTAGCTTGGACTAGGAAGGTAGCAAGATAGGACAGTAAACTAGGTTGAACTGGGACAGTGGCAGTGAAGATACATGGCTTTAAGATATTCAGGAGGTAAATCCGGTAGGACACAATGACCTAGAAGAAGGGGGAATAGGGGAAGAAGGAAGTGTTTAGGTAGATATCCAAACAGGTATATGGATGGAAAGAAAGGTGTTTGGAGGACAAGGTAAGTTTGCTTGGGTGGGGAGTTGTATGGAGAAAAGCATGAATTCCATCATGGAGGTGCTGAGTTTGCAATGCCTTTGAAGTTGGTGAAGCCAAGCAGACAGTCGTATATCTGTGTATGGAGCTCAGAGATACAAATTGAAAGTCACTATCAATAGATGTTATTTAAATATTTAGGTGTGAGATTTCCAGAACTGGAGTATAGGGTAAGAAGAGAAGACCTTCTCTCAAAAAACTCCATCATTTCACAACTGGGTAGAAGATGAACTAGCCAGAGATATGGGAAATTCTCTGCTTTCAGAGAATTAAGAAAAAAATCTGGGAAGTCTAGCGTCCTAAACACCATTGGAAAAGAGCGTTTCAAGGAATAAGTGTCTCATGCTGCTGAAAAACCAAGTAAGATGAGGTTAAAAAGTAACCCTGAATTTGACAGCAAGGAGGGCCATTTCTCTGAGAGGGTAGAGCCAAAGTCAGACATTAAAAGGAATTCAAGAGGGCTCTAGAAGTGAAGAAATGAAAGGAGTGTGGCCTTACACATGTTATACAAGAAGTGATGGTCTGTTGAACACAACAAGATGCTGTCTTTTCCTTTGCACAAGATATTCACTGCTCTGGTTTCTTCAGTCATTTCTTTACTTATGAAGGTTCACCATAGTGGGATCTCTCCTATGAAACCCTTGCCTCTTTACAAATATGGATTTTCTAACTTCACGTGCATTCTTAGTGTGTAGCACAACATAAAACCTTAAATATAGCTATGTGACTAGTAATCAGAGCATGGACTTTGAAGTCAGGTAGATATGCTCAGCTGCTTATTAATCCTGTGTGTGTCTTTGCAAACCTTACTTTATTATTTGTGCCTCAGTGTTTTCAGCAAAGTTGGAAAGGGGTTGATAATTTTATTTACCTCCCCAAGTTTCTGTACTAAATTACATAATGCATAAAAATACAAACGTGCCTGTTATTGCCACCAATCAGTACATGTGGGCAGTTATATTCATTGCTCTGGGATGATTGTTCTGAATGCTGTCCAACTGCCCAATGACCTTTTCCTTTCTACAGTCTCATACACGTTCCAATTCCATATGTTGGCTTTCTTTTCATAATGCTGGCTTTCTTTTTTTTCAGGACTGATCCTGTCCAATGGCCAGATATGGAAGGAGCAAAGAAGGTTCACCCTGACAACACTAAGGAACTTTGGCTTAGGAAAGAAGAGCCTAGAGGAGCGCATACAGGAGGAGGTCCATCACCTCACCCTGGCAATAGAGGAGGAGAATGGTGAGTGTCCTCCTCTAGGACAGGTGCAGCAGACTGTGGCCCTTTCACTCACTGAACAGATACATATTCAGTATTTATGTGCCTGTCCTGTGCCCAGCACTATATTGGGCCCTGTGGATATTACTGAACAACTAACCTTGCCCTCATGCAACTCTAGAAGTAAGCACAAGAAGAAGGGCACTAAAGACATTATTGATTTTAAACTCCAGTCATTCGTCCGACTTCCTAGGTACTGAGTGAGCACATGCTGTATGTCTGACCCAGTCTAGGGTGCTGTGGCCAGAGCCTCAGGTGTGTTTCTGTCCTCAGGATGTCATATGTCTTGTGGACTCTCAGTAGAACACAGCAGCAAACCAATCTCAAAGATATACATTTTCTTCCACATCCAGGACAGACTTTTAACCCTCACTTCAAGATCAACAATGCAATCTCCAATATTATTTGTTCCATCACCTTTGGGGAGCGCTTTGAGTACCAGAATGATCAGTTTCAAGAAATGCTGAAGTTGCTGGATGAGATTGTACGTCTGGAGACGTCAGTGTGGTCCCACGTGAGAGTTTCTCTTTAATTTCTTGGGTAAAGATGCTGGGGCTGATGTTGGGCATGGGTTTTTTTTAAGCTACCATAACCCTTTAAAACTGAAATCAACGCAATCTTATTTGAAATAAACCTGTGACTATAGCATTTTAGATAACATAGGCAAATGTTATCTAAATGCTGTGTGCAAAGACATTTTTAACATGCATGGGAAGCAGTGAACTTCACATGCCATACACTTGTGCACTTATGTTGTTTTATTTAAAAAGACCAAGAGTGCCTTTGCCTTTGAGTCCCCCATCCATGTCCCTCCCTAACCCAGCTACCTCAGACCTCCTGTCTCAGAAGTTTTCTTCTATGCTTGGCCTCCCCCTGGGCACCCTGTTCTGAGATCCATCTGTATTAGTTGCTCTGCTTAAAAATTCTGCATAGGATTCCATTTTATGGGTATGCCACTCTTTGCCATCCTCTTCTTTATTGAGAGACACTTGGGTTATTTCCAGGTTTTAAATGTTAGAAGTAAACCTGCCGTGAACATTCTAGTACAATTGTTCATGTGGGTGCATACAGTCATTTCTCTTCCATACATAAACCTGAGCATAGAAGATGCCAGGTTTCCAAAGCTCTTACTCTGTTTTTATGCCCATCTGCAAGGTATCATCAGTCTCCTAATTTCATAGGGTAGAGGCATTTGGGGGTCAAACTTTGCCCCTTCATTGTTGGGCCCTGTACTCCATGTCGTGGGGCCTCTGAGTCTGTCAAAAACTCTATGAAGCCCCTTGGTCTCTCAGCCACTGTTCTGGGTTTGGAAGGCATGTCTAGGTAAAAAGCAGCCCCAAAGCTTGAGGTAGCCTCTCAGGTATCTAGAAACAGGTCATTTTTCATTATTCCTGACAACCATCTTTGCCTGGAGCTCTATGGATCCATTACAGCAAATGGATAAAGATGTTAGTGTGAGTCCTGTCAGGTGCGAAGGCCACAGTGAGTGAGCTGTTGTTTTTATTATTATTATTGTCAAAGGTTTTTTTTTTAAATTCCTTGTTCTCACTTCCATACATGGTAGTCCCCAACTCAGCAACTCCATTTTTGCACTTCTTATTAAAACAAATGCCAGGACGTCATGAGTGTTCAGGGTAGGTACCCAGCTGACTTTCCCCAGGAAAATAAAATTTCTAAAGGGTTAAGAAGGGTCAGCAGAGTAGGGTTAATAACCATTTCTTAGAATCCCAAAATAGACCAGGTACTTTGATAGAGAACTACACATACTTTATCTGAGTTAGTTTTCACAGCAGTGTTTTAAAGGTGAAATGAAGCATCATGGTGGATGCAGGCAGATATGAGAATGTGTGAGCAAATCCGCATAGTTGTGCGTTGGCCCTGGGTTAGCTGCTTAGTGGACCTCATGTCATTTGGCCACCAGCATAGCCCTGGGGCCCCAGAGGCAACTAGTTGAATGAAGAAATGACAACTTACATCCTCCTCCTCATTATTATTATTATTACCAAAGTATCATAGGTAGAAAGCAGTAGAACTATTAGCCAAACCTAATCATGTCATAATTGTAGGTGATTTTCCATTGTGCTATGCTATCCATTTTATACTACATTATTATTATTAAAGAAAATATATTCACAACCATCTTTATTTCATGAAAAATGAAATAAGGAGATTAGTGGGGACAAACATATTATATATACATACATAAATATACATATACACATATATGTATATATATATAACTTGTGATATATATACACATATCATAAGAGAGTATTAACTGCCATGAAGAAAAATTAGACAGGAAAAGGGAATGGAAAGAGCGTGACAGGGGTGCTACTACTTAGGGAACATCAGGAGAGGCTGCTCCAAGTTCATGACATTTGGGCAGCACTTGAATGAAGTGAAGGGGCTGGGGTTCCAGAGCTCTCAGAGGAAGTGCCTTCCAGCTGGAAGGAATAGCAAATCCAAAGGCCTTTCCTGCACACACCCTCAATGTCCTTACAGAGACCAGAGGGGCAGCCAGGAGAAGGTGAGGTGGCTGGGAGTGACAGGAGTGTACAGGCGCCTGCTCCTGTAGAGCTTCGATGCCCAGAGAACAATGCAGCAGTTTACCTGGGCGTCTCGGGGAGTCATTGAAGAACTGATAAACAAAAAGTGAAATGATCCTCTTAAACCAGCGATTTTCAACATTTCTCATCTCATGGCACATGCATACTAATTATTAAAATTTTGCAGTGCACCGAAAGTATACATTTTTTGCCAATCTGATTAGAATAGGTATAATATTGATTCATTCACACTGGACAGCTATTGTGTTGGTTTTTGTCTTTTTTAAATTTTACAGTCTAAGGAAAACAAATTCTGTGCCTCTGACTAAATAATGAGGTATTGCCTGTTTTAAAAACTGTTGCCCCACACTGGTTGGAAATCAATGGATTAAACTGTTAAATGATCACTCCACAGTTCTGTAGCAAAAGACTGGGAACAGGGATAAGAAAGGAATCAGAAAAACTATTAGAGGCTCTTACAGCGTCCGAACAACAGACGGTGATTTGTTAGAGGAGACAGAGCAGTTGCGGTGGTGACAAATTATTTCAAACAATACATTTTGGATAGAGCTCTGAAATGCTTTGCTGGGGGGATAAGAAGAAGGATGAGAGAGAGAACAACCAAGGTCCAAGTGTAGGCAAACGAGAGCTAGAAAAAGAACATTTCTGCTTTCTTAAAAAGTAGGAGACTGGGACCATGACGTCTCCATCATTGTTCTGTTTCTCTTGATCAGCTCTATACTACTTTTCCACGGATAATGCACTTCGTTCCTGGACCCCACCAAGCACTCTTCAGCAAATGGGAGAAACTGAAATTGTTTATTTCTCATGTGATTGAAAAGCACAAGAGAGACTGGAATCCTGAGGAGACAAGAGATTTTATTGATGCATACCTCAAGGAAATAGAAAAGGTGAGGAAACCACAGTTGTTTCTTGGGCTGTGCTTTTGAAGAACAAGTGGAGATGTACGGGTTCCCTAGGGATGCTGTAACAAATTAACTTAGTGGCTCACAACAGCACAAATTCATTCTCTTCCCGCTCTGGAGGTCAAAAGTCTGGAAGCAGTTGGAATGGGCTCAAGTCAAGGTGTTGGCAAGGCTGGCTCCTTTGAAGGCTGCAGGGGAGAAGCCATTTCCTTGACCCTTCCCGCTTCTAGAGGTTGCCTGTATTGCTTGGCTCCTGGCCCTCGCCTTTATCTTCAAAGCCATCAGTTTAGCATCTTGTCTGCTACCATCCTTACACCTTCTCCTTACAACACTCTTGCTCCTGTGACTGTATTGGGCCCACTGGGATTCTCCAGATTATATTCTCATATCGAGACCCTCTACTTAATCATACCTATGAAATTCCTTTTTTCCACATAACATCTACTGTTTCCAGAGATTAGACATGGACATCTCTGGGAGTCATGATTGACCTTACAACAGGGGAGTAGACATACAGGCAGGATTTCACAGAGTGTAAAAGCAGCATTAACTTTCTCTGGCTGGTGTAGCTGAGTGCATTGAGTGCTGGCTGCAAACCAAAGGGTCACTGGTTGGTTCGATTCCCAGGGAGGGCACATGGCTGGGTAGTGGGCCAGGTCCCCAGTAGGGGGCATGTGAAAGGCAACCACACACACGTTTCTCTCCCTCTCTTTCTCCCTCCCTTCCCCTCTCTCTAAAGATAAATAAATAAAATCTTTAAAAAGAGAGAGTAGCATTAACTTAGGATGGATGAGGCCATTAGAAGTAAAAATAGGGGTTTGGTGATATTTGGCTTGAGGCCTTGGGAATGCCCAAATACTGCCTGTCATCTTCTAGTCTCTGCCCTCTCCCCATATCTGCAGGTGCTGTATAAAAAAAGGAAAAATAAGACTTGAGCCTCAAAGCTTTTTATTATTGCTTGGATCTCTGCCCAATTACCTACTCTTCTCTCTTTTCCAAGTACAGAACACAAGGAAAACTGAGTCAGACGCCAGAGTTCATCCTCAAGACTTAAATGGGACCCCATATTGCCCACTTTCCAACATTATAGGGAAGAAATGGGGTGGGGGACCAAATTGGATGTGTAGCAGTTAAATCAGTACTCCTTCTGACGAGTATACTTCATTGCATTAGTTTCATAATTTTTGACTATCCCATTATGTGGTCCTCTTGTGGAAGTTGGAGGAATGGTGGATTTCTTCCCCGTCCCCTTTATTATTCCAGCTTATTGGCATGGTATTAATAGAAACACTGGCTTCTGCTCAGAGGGGAGACTCCACATGCTCTATGGTGCGCAGGTGTGGGACTCACAGGAAGAGGAGTGTTGACAAAGGGCGCCTTTCAGAGCAAGGTGGTAATGATGACGGGCTGTCCTAAGGAATGCTTGGTGGGTTCAGAGAGTTTTCCCCTACAAAAAAAGATTCACTGAGAGATACAAAACTAGTTGTATGTAGAAGAACTAAATTATTGTTTCTAGTATCAGCATAAATATTTGTTGAGTGTTTGCTGTACACCCTTTTCTTCTCATATGATTCAAAATCTCTTCTTCAGAGGCATGTTTTGTTATTTCTATCTTATAAAACAGGAAACTGAGGCACAGACAGGTGAAGTAACTGGCCCTGTGTCACAGAAATAGTGAACACTATGGCTAATATCTGAACCAAGGACCATCTCCCCACTGAACTAATACCTTCTCTCTCTGCTGTACCAATTGCTTCATCCAAACTATAGGCATTAAAAACTAGTTTTGATTTCCATTCACCCAAACTAACGAAAGCTTCCAGCACTTGGGGGGGGGGGGACTGTGTTAACAATATTACTGTAATGAGACTCTGCCTCCTGAGGAGACCAAAGGGGAAAGCCCTGCCTCCTAGGGCCCCCTCCTCCCACAGACTCTCCCTAGAATGAAGCCCCTCTGTATCCTGGTGACTGAGAACCCTCTAAATCCACTAATCAGCATGGTGCTTTCTAGCATATGGGCAATGCTACTTCCAGTTTCCATGAGGAAAACCTCGTCTGCACCACCCTGGATCTCTTCTTGGCTGGCACCGAGACAACTTCAACGACTCTGCGCTGGGCTCTGCTGTACATGGCCTTCTACCCAGAAATCCAAGGTGAGCATGTCAGTGGGTGTCCTGAGCCAGCACACAGTGGTGTCTCCTGGGGCACGCTGCCCCGAAGGTGGGAGCAGAAGATAGCATGGTAGACTGGGAAGATGGATAGGATGGTCACAAGGCCGTGCAGACTTGAGAATGGGCACATTCGGCAATTATTCTGTCGTGATTGTGATAGGTCATCCTAACACAAATATAACACAGAGCTCCTGCTCTCAGGAAACACAAAGTCCAGCAGGAAAAACAGTGAAGTGATTTGACATTGTGGTGAATTCCAGGAGAGAGTTACATTCTCATGTGAAATTTTGGTTGTAGGCGAGGTTAATGTCAGACAATACAAAAGGAAAAAAATGGCAGGAAAGAAGAAAGGAAGGAAGGAAGAAGAGAGGGAGGGAGGAAGGGAGAGAAAGAAAAGAAACCTGGTCCTAGCCTTCCCTCCTCTGAAGTTATGTCTTCCATTGCCCTGGAGATAGTGTTCAAACTTCTTAATCTGAGAGATCATGCCCTCTGGTGTGCCTCTTACTTCCTGTCCAACCTCACCTCCACCCACGCTGCATGGTGGCCTCACTAAATCACATGTCATTTTCTTTGCATTGTCATTGTTTATGCCTCTGTGTCATCACACCAGCTCTTGCCTCTACAGGAATGTGTTTCCTTAATTTTCTGCCTGGTAAACCACGAGCTCTGCTTGATGAATCTGCTAAATACTACCTCTCATTCCATGTTTTCCCTGTCCCATACAAAATGCCTAGCACTCTCTCTCTACAGATGACCTAACGCACCTCCGTTGCTGTGTGTATTGCACATCAGTTATACATCTCCCTCACAAACTGCAGTTCATTCAAGGACAGTGACTGGTAGAACCACTTTTCTTTTTCCAGGTCCCAGAAGAGAGATCAGATGTGTTATTATACAGTTTTTTAAACTGTGGGTAACACTTTATAAAAGGGATATAGCATGAATTTAGTGGATCGAAACCAATTCTTTTCCTAAAATAAAAATAGAAGATCAGAGAGCTTCCCATGTACTAAGGATAAGTGTGTTTATAAGTGTGTGTATATATATTCCCTGAGTAACAATGGAAAATGACTTTGCAACTGTGAATTACATTATTTTGTTAAGTTTAAAAGCTGCTTAGTTAGGATACAGACTTGGTCTCTGTAATAGAGGCTCCAAAATAATAATGGCTGAAGATGACAGCACTTCACACCCATGTTCATAGCAGCATCAGTCACAGTCTCCAGGAGGTGGTAACCATGTCCATCTATGAAAGACAGTATGAACAAAATGTGGAGCAGAATGGAATCTCACTCAGCCTTACGTAGGAAGGGAAGTCTGACTCATGCTGAAACATGGATAAACCTTGAGGACATCATGCTAAGTCAAATGATCCAGTCACACAAACACAAATACTGTGTGATTCCCCTACGTGAGGCATCAAGAGTAGTCACATTCATAGAAACCGAAAGTAGAATATTACATGCTGGAGGCCCCGGGAAGTGGGAAGAGGGAGGAGTTTCATGGACATAGATTCATTTCTGCATTTGAAAACGTTCTGAGGATTGGTTGCAGAACAATGTGAGTATACTTAACACTATTAGATTGTACACTTAAAAATGTTAAAGTGATAAATTTTATCTGATATGTCTTTTACCAGCATTAAAATGTTAAATGAACAGTAAAAGAATTATAGGATAGAAGCTTATTGCTCTCAGGTACAAAATTTGAACCACCCTCTGCAGAGCCCTTTGGGCTCCACCTCTCCGGTGTGTTGTCATGTTCAGTCTAAGATGATGCCCTCACTGCACTGACACTTATTGCTCCCCACAGAGGCTGCTTTTCCACCATGGAGAAGGGACCAAGTGGAGGGGCACCTGCTAAGTATTAAACGTTCCTCCTGCACACAGTCCACTAGTCAGAACTTAGTCACATGATCACCCTTAGTCAAAAGGGGAATCTGGGAGATGGAGTCTTTGGCCTGATAACCAGGTATTCAGCTAAAACCTCTATTGTAGAAAAAGGAAAATAACATATTGGGGGGTGATTAGCAGTTTCTGTTATTATTTAAGTGCTCACCTCAATCAGGTAATATGAATCTCAAAGTATCCCTAAGATGGAGGTAGATTTAGCTCACTTAAAATGAAGAAGAAACTGATTCTGAAAGTGTTTAAGGAACTTGCAGCAGTAACTTTGTAGAGTAAAAACGTTCACCGAGAATTGTTCCATCCCACGGCCTGATTTCCACTCTCCATCTTCCACCTTGAGAAACAAGAGCACATAGAGCCCCCTGTGGTGGTTGGCACTTTCATCCTCATTACTCCATTCCTTAGCTTAACCAGGCTCAGGGAAAGTTATAAAATAATAGCACTTTCTCTTCTTTACAAGAAAAAGTACAAGCTGAGATCGACAGAGTGCTTGGCCAGTCGCAGCAGCCCAGCATGGCTTCTCGAGAGTTCCTGCCCTACACCAATGCTGTTGTCCATGAGGTGCAGAGAATGGGAGATATCCTCCCCTTGAACGTGCCCAGGGAAGTGACAGTTGATACCACCTTGGCTGGATACTACCTACCAAAGGTAATTAGGGACTCCAGCCTCAGATCTTCAAGGTCCTCTTTTTAAATGACAGGAAACTAAAATAGAAAATTGACATGAATTGTTGTGCTAGGGAATCGCTTAAATGGGGAGCGACATATATTATTCCTGCTTCAATACTAAAATATTTCTTCATGTGTGGCCTTTAGAACATTAGTTCAACTAGATATTAACAGTTGTTATGGAGGGGAAGGGAGATTCCTAGGTCAATATGTGTAAGCAAAGATTGGGTTTTCTTTGCTGTGGGATTTCTCTATTCTTACTATAAAATGTGTGTTGTGAATCTTTGTGGAGATATAGCAGGCAGCCATTTGTAGTCAGACTTGGCCATGGAACTTTCTCCTTTGCCTTGGTAGAGCATCTTTCCAGACTAAGGACCTGCCACACTTATTATGGAAAATTCTGCTTCACAATCCTGGGGCTATAGAATAGTGAAATATAAAGGGTCAACTGAGACCTCCTGGGGCAATGTCTGACATAATATTCCCACAGATGTTTCAGCTTTTACTTGCAGCCCCTTGGGGGTGGGGGTGGAGAGTCTGTCCCACAAGAGGAACCAATCTAAGTGTGTGCCTTATTCAGTGTCAAGAGAGAAAGGAACTAACACTTACTAAGCAGTAATTATGTCCCATAGAATACTTAGGTTCTTTCAGAATGCTTAATCAGTTCTCAGTTTAATTGGTTATTTCTATTGTATAAATTGGGAAATCGGGGCTCATGGTGATTCAGCTTGTGTAAGGCCTCTCAACTACCATGTGATAAGAACTGGGTTCAAGAACCAGATCTCTTTTGATACCCGGGCTCACCTTTTTACTACTACATCATGTTCTTTACACAGGAGTTGTGTTACTTTGACCTTAAATGAGTCATCTTGGCGTTGCTCTCAGTTCCTCCCTGTTCAGTGCCTTGTCCTCAGGAAGAGAATTCTCTGTCCTCCAGGTTTATAATCTCAGCAGACAGCTCTCTTGTGCCCCCTGGTGTCCTCTCTCCACACTGCACATTTACAGCTCACCACCTCGGTGTGAGCTCACCACCTTGGTCAGCCTCTGTGGGTCCATTCTGGTTGTCTCTGTCCCTCTGCATGTGTCCTACCTGGAGACAAGCTTAAGAGATAGAACCAGGAGGGCTTACCCGTTGTACACGTTTGGTCACTGTCCCTGCAGACCCAGGGAAAGCAGCTATGCCTGCAGCTTTTACATTCACTGATACTTGCTGATTCCAGGTTGTTGGCTGAGGTCTAAATTAATTCACAGGTGCTGCTTGCATTGTTGTAGCAATTCATTTAAGTTCCAGGGAACCATCCGAGCTCTACCCCTGATTCTTAATGCCAAGTTAAATAACCGTCCTGAGAACTGAGAGACCTAAGTTACTACGTAGTGGAGGTGAGGAGCCATGACTTAGATGCCAGATAGGCCTGGTTCAAGTCATGGCTCTACCTCCTTCTGTTACCTGACTCTGGGCATGTTATTTAACATCTCAGAGCTTGTTTTTTTTGTCGTTTGTAAAATGCATGAAAACTTTTCTCACAGATGGAAGTAAAATGAGACCACGCGTGAAAAACATTAAATCTAGAGCTAAGTAAAGAAAGTATTAAAATAGCAGTTATTCTTAATTAAACCAGCAAATGTTCATTGAGCACCAAAATGCTCAGGCCTGAGAAAACGACCCTGAGCAAAATAACCACATGACTACACACTTGGAAACTCTGACAGCTGCCCCTGAAAACACGCACAGGTCTCTGTGCACACGAAGGCTGCCTGGAGTGGGGAGTGGGAGCAGCAGTGGTCCCAGGAGGCTTCCACAGGAAGTGATGTTTGAGCTGAGGACAGCAGGATGCTCAAGGCTTAGCTCAGTGACAAAGGAAGGAAGAAAGACATCCAGATACTGTAAACAACATTTAAAAAGGTAGGGAAATGAGTGGGAGCAGAGCTGTTTGAGACGCTGAAAGAGGCCAACGCAATGGGAGGGCAGGCAGAGAGAGAGTGGCCCAGACAGGGGCCAGACAATGGCTCTGTCACCTCAGAGTGATGGGAAGCCAATGAAGGGTTCTCTCAAGTTTAAGGTATAGGTGGCTGGGTAGATGGGTATGACATAAATTAATCCTATATTCAAAGCCCACTCTGGTTTCAGAGTGTGGAGCAGATTGAAGACGAGAGGACAGGGGGCACAGTTAGACAGCTATTACAGGAGTGTAGACAGCAAGGTGGTAGCCTGGACTACAAGAGCAGACATAGAATGGAGAAGACAGAATCGAGAGAAATCTGCAGTAAAATCAACCAGCCTCACTGAAGAATTACATGAAGGCACAATGAGGGAAAGGAGGGCTTAAGGTAGACTCTTAGGTTCCTTGCCATGTACTTGCATGGATAGTGGTTCCTTTTACTGGGTGACCTGATGCTACTGTGAAACCTCCTGTGCAGTGTAGTAGACATTGGGAAGAAGAGAATGGGGGACATGGAGTGAATGAGACACCTTTTACCTTGCTAGCTCTGCCATCGTTACCACTTTGGTGAGCAGCTGGATTGATTTTGGTACAGCACTGACTGGCAAAGCTCTGACATTGCATGTTCTTTCTCAAGTGCTACACTGCCTTGTCCCTGTGGAGAAGATCCATAATCAGCCAAGGGGAGCCCCACCTCCCTAGTAAATTCCCAGAAGCCATGTGCTGTACATCATTGGAAGCTGTACCATGGCAAAGACTAGGGCCCAGGGTGGGTTGAAGGGGGATGACTGGGCTCAGAAGATGGTGGGATTGGAAGGGTGAGGATATGGTCGGACTCTGGCTTGAGAGCAGGGGACGTCCACCATGCTGCATAGGTGTGCTGCACAGGTGAAGCCCGTCCTGAGTCTTCCCTGCCTTCTCCAGGGCTCCATGCTTATTACCAATCTGACTGCACTGCACAGGGACCCTGCAAAGTGGACCACCCCTGACACGTTCAATCCGGAGCATTTTCTGGAGAATGGACAGTTTAAGAAAAGGGAAGACTTCCTGCCCTTCTCATTAGGTGAGTTTGAAAACAATGGGAGTGTGTGAATCCACAGTTCCTCTGCCAGGCCTTCCCTGCTTTTCTCCCCATCATCCTTTGCTCTTCTAGTTGGAATATCTCCACTTTACATAGTCCTGCCCAACGTGACTCCCTGTTACTGCTGTTACAGCTCAGGATTCCCAGGGCTGGCATCGCTTCAGGCTGCCCTCACTTCCTGAGCCCTTGCTTGCCTCTCATGTGGACTTGAGCTTCACTTTGTTCTCTCCCCCACAACAAAGGGACAGAGACTCAGGCCTCACCTCTTGCTCACAAAACAACTGGATACTTCCCATCTTTATAGAGTTTTTCAATGTTTCAAGTTCTTTTTAAGGGCTACCTACTCACATGGAATTAGAGCCAATTTTTAATATAATAAGGGGATGGGGAGAGACAAGGAAAGGAGCTACTGCTTTTATCATCATGGGCATCGGGAGAGACTCTGAATGCCATGGCTGGATCTGATGGGACTTTATTCTGTATGTGTGCCCCTTTGCCTCTTTAAATTGTAATCGTTCTGTATAAATCCAGGTAATATATTTACACGGTAAACTACTTGAATGGTGCAAAAGGGGTTGCTGTGTCAAGTCTCTCATTGGCAAGCCAGCCAGTTCCAAAAGGCTGTTATAACGTGGTAAAATGAATAACAGAATGTCTTAGTATATTTCTTAGTGTTGAATTAGGTATTTTTCATGGATTATTTCAAGTAATTTCCCAGTTACTTAGTTCTAAAAACATTTCTTGAGCTACTGTGTGCCAAAAAGTCAGCCATGAGGATCTGAAAATGAATGAAGTAGAAAAAAACAACTGTTTTTGTTTAGTGCAACTTATAAGGTTCGTGGGACTGTCACCACTGTAGAGATAATGACATTGAACCTTAGGGGTGTTAACTGGCAGCTTTTTATACTTTTCTTTTTCACACTATTTTCCTTTTTTGCATTGACTATGGATTACTTAGGGAGAAAATAAATTATTGCACACACAAGAGAGGTAGTCCCAGTGACTACTGTGTGTGTTGGAGCCCACTGGGGTGAGAAGGGCATTTGCAGAAAGGAGGGAACAGTGGAATCCTAGACCGGGCGTCAGAGAACATGCAGGATGAGGCAGGGTGTGCACAGCATGGCAGTGGCAGTGATGGAAGAGAAGTTATATACCCAGGATACTGCTCCAATAATAAACATATTGAGGATAATGGGAAGAAGTTACAAATAGGGGAAGGGAGATAATAGAATGAACTCTGTGGTGTTGGATTGAAATCGGATGTTACTGATATGAACTCATATTTTTGATAAATAGGTAGGTACATATAAAAGTAAATAACATAAACACGGATGTATATATTTAAATATATACTCACACTATGTACATACACAGGTTTCCAGCTCTACCCATGGACATGCCCTGGGAGCAACACCACCTTGATACCAACGAGCTCATCTAATGCCCAGATGTTGGTTTCTGCATAATGTTATCCCCTGAAAGGAACCAGGATTTCTGGTGTAAATGGCTGATTTTAGCCCAGGGGAGGGAAAGCACAAGCTGAACTGGAAAATATTTTTGTGCCCCAAATTAAGAAAATACCAGCTTGAATGTTCATTTACTAGACAAATCCCAAGTATCTTGAGATCAAAACACTAATTACAAATTTTACCTCTTTGAATAAAAATAAGAATTTGTGATTTCATAAAACACAAATAAATGAATGAATAAATAAAGTACGAAGCAAAGGAAGCTTTTTCCTTTAGTACAGATGCTAAATAATAATGCACAAGGCATGATGTAATTTAAAAAATTCCTGACAGACAACCATTAGAGTAAATAGTAATTTGGACAAGAAAGAACAATGAAAACTTGTTCATTGAGAATTGGTTTATTTACATAGTCTCAAGGTAGTATTTATTAGTTGCAAAAGGAAAAAGAATAATTTTACAGGGGAGAATTGGTAGACACCACCGTAATGGTGACCAGTAAGGGGACAGATCAAAACATGTCCCACCTGACGGAGTGAAGAGAGAACACAGCCTCACTTGTCTGATCTGGCCACCAGGGAGGCCTGACCTCACAACCTGAACCTAATCCAGAGGCAACATGAGAGACAGTTACCAAATAATGCACTTGTCATTTTCAAAGGGGCCATAGTCATGGAGGTTGAAAAGTCACGTCCTGATGCTAAACTGGACCCTTTTCTAAATGAAGGACATTATTGGGAGAATGGAAAAACCTGATTAAGGCCTGAGGAGAAGATAGATGATGGTGATTTCCCGATTTTGTGGTTATGTCGGAAAATGTCCTTGTTTGAGGGAATTCATACTGAAGAGGTCATGGGTAATGTAGGCAATTTACTCTAAAGGAACCTGGGACAAACAAGTGTGTTGTATTGTTATTCTTGCAAGTTTTCTGTCCATTTAAAATTACTTCAGAATAAAGGGCACAATGTGGACAGTATCACAGAAAACAACTGTAATACACAGAAAGCTATTTTAGTAATGCTAGCACCAAATGATTTACTTGCAGGAGTCTTTTAACTTGCATTCTTCTAGGTATTTTTTTTATTACTAATGACACAAAGTTACAGATAAGCTATTTTACAGCTAGAATGTTTAATATGATCCAGCAAATGTATTAAGATATTTTGTTTTGCTCTCTATATTATTATTTGGATTCATTGTGTAGCTCAGGAAATACACAAAACACAGTTCCCATGTTAAACACACATTTCCACTAATGCCTAGAGAATTTAATTTGCGTTGAATCACATGTCTAGAAAGTAGAAGGAGTTGCATTTGAACTCTGTTCTCTGGCTCCAGTTCTGGACTCACATACCCAGCCCTCAATATGGCCCAGACAAGGCCAAGTGTGAGCCTGGAGTAAAGGATCCAGCCTAGGGCTCACGTTAGAAGCAAAGGCACTTTGGGGGAAGGACTGTCAGGCATCAGAACTGTGGGAGGAGGGGGCTGAAGCAGTTCCCATGTACAGGGCCATCCATGTCAGCAAGGTCCCTGACCACTAAGGAGGAAAACGTGACCTAGGGGTCAGATGCTTATACTCTAGAAACGTTGCTCTGACATTACTGCCTTGTACTTTTACATAGTACTCTTCTAGGGACTGAAAGAAATGAACTTTTTTCTGCTTTGGTCATTGGTGTTTGCTCATTAATTTTTCACAGCCTGCAGGCTAGACCCCCACTTTCCAGGTGAACCCAGGCCTCTCACTTCTGTCATCACCTACACCTGCACCTTCACCTGCCTGAGCCCTGAAGGCACTGAGAGGAGTCCACACACACGTGTTCTGTGTTTTGCTTCAGCCCAGTGGTGGTCAGATTACACAAGCCTCTGTACAGAAAGCCCCAGGGCCTAGAGGCCCTTCCTCTGTGAAGTTTTGGAAGATGTAGTAGATTTCAGTCTCTGCTGGGCACTGACATGAGCTGGAAACATAACTCGTCTTATGTTCTTGTCTTTCAGGAAAGCGGGCATGCCTTGGAGAACAGTTGGCCAAGGCTGAGCTCTTTATTTTCTTCACCTCCCTTTTGCAAAAATTTACCTTTAAGCCTCCAGACAATGAGAAGCTGAGCCTGGAATTCAGAATGGGCATCACCCTCTCCCCAGTCGACTACCGCATCTGTGCTGTTCCTCGGGCATGAAGGTGGGAGGGAAGGAGAGGGGAAAGGAGAGCAGGAAGAATGGGCCTGTCCTGTGAAGGCTCCACCACCTGCTCTGAACTGAGGGAGCGCAGTGGAGTGGCTTTGAGCAAAGAGGGCAGGCGCTGGAACCAGAGGGAACTGGATTCAAATCCAGTTTTATCTCCTCCAGTGTAGCCTTGAGCAAGTCATGTATCTTTAGAAAACACTACCAATGATATTCCTAAAATAAAAGCAATCACATTAGGCTTTGAATTGGCTAAATATCCTGGATCTTGCCTTACAGTTTTTTCCAATCAGATCACCTGAGTAAGAGACTGAGAAATTGGCCAAAATACTTCACGTACTAGGATCAGTCTCCTCATCTGTAAAATGAAGGACTGTGTGGAAAGACTCTCTGAGTTCTGTTCCTGCTGCACTGTACATTTGTGCTGACTGTAGATGGGCAGGGGTTCACACACTCCATGCGGAATAATTGTGAAGCCACCAGGCCTCATCCCAACCTAACAGATGGATTGGGACCCACAGCCAAGAGAATACAACTGTAATTAATGTGAAACTTTGAGGAATAGATGACTGGGAGTAACTGAAGTTTCTGGCAACATAAAATGACTTTTTTTTTTACCCCTGAAAGCTCATCAGAGAGATTCTAATGTGAAGTTTCATACTGCCCAAACACTACATAAAGATTTTATCTGACTTTTATAACTCTTATTTCTCACCTAGTCTGAAACCTCCAGGGCCACTTACCCTCTTCCTTTGCATCAGTGTCTGAAAAATAATGTGCAAGCATATGACATTGTCTGTGGTGTCCTGGCTAAGGCACATTATTTACCCCAGTGCAATCCAGGCTGTGCCTCTTCCCTCTCCCACTGTCCCACAGAGATGCAGACACACACAGCACTGTAAATACAAGACTTGGTCTGGAGTCAGGGGATTTGCAAGCAGAAAAGGAGCAGGACACACAGGATAATCGAAGTTCATATGGAAATGTGCCCAGGTGAGCACAGCTGACCTGCACGCGACAGGGAGAGGTTCCAGCCAAGGGACTCTCAGAAGGCCCTCCATATTTACAGACAGGAGGCAGCACTGGCCCGGGCGAGTTAAGGAAGTATCAGGACAGCTTCCAGGGTGAGGAGGCTGCTTAGTGAGGACAGGGAGTTCAGAGCTCTAGCTCTTGTCAAAGGTGCCCCTTGGTGCCAGTCCAACACCACCAGGAATTCGAGGTGTGGTTAAAGAAACTGCTCTCAGTGCAGAACAGCTCAGTGGTGATACAGAAAGGCTGTGAAAACAGCAGGGATGTGAAGCAGCCCCCGACCAGGTAGCCCTGGGGTCATGTCCCTCTTGCACTGGGCAGCTCTACTCTGCTCTGCTCCACATTGGTCTACTCAGCTCTGTTCCTGTCCACTCTGCACCAGTCTGCCTCTCTCTGCACAGGTCATTTTACTTCTGCTCCAGTGAGATGTCTTCAGTGTTTCAGGATAGCCAAGGAAACAGTCCTGTCTTTAGTGGAAAGGGAAAGTGTGCTCTCCCAGCCAGAGGGGGGATACCTTATATAGACAGAAGTCCCCACCTCTGGTCCCTGATTGGTCCACCTTCATACAAATGAGGACTACAAATGCTTGCATTTTAGTTGGTCCCAAAACCTGTCCTTATTAGTCAGAAGCGAGCTGCTCTGATGGTTAGTGAAGATGTTGATGGGAATAAAGCTGCACTGATTTAACTGGACAAGGAAGCCTCAGGCCAATTGGTTGACACCAGATTCTAGGAATTCCTCCAAGACAAACTCAAATGGTAGAAACGCAGTATAGAAAGGCAGTTCAGTGTGGGCGGCAGGCAGCTTAGTGCAGGCTTCTCCCTGAAGTGTGGTTTGCATGCAAGGCCCCTGTATAGAAATGCCTGCTAGGCCATGTTTTGGTTTGTTGTTGTTATTGCTTTTTAAAAAAATTTAAGCCCAGTTAAGACACCAGGAGACCTTAGTAGGTAGATATCTTCATGCTCAGATTCGTTCTGGTGTCAAGCTCTTCTCCCCTTCTGCTAACTCCAGCCTACTTAGTCAGCCTGTTGTTGATAAACTACCAAGGGGATGAGGAGCTTATTAAGGGTGAGAACATACCAGGGACTTTGAATTTCTTCTTTTTTCAACCTTAACTGTGACTTTGAGCAAGACATTTAACCTGGCAAGCCTCCGTTTTCTTCCTCTAAAACGTGGGTATGATGGTAAAAACTTCACTCAGTGGTGGTGAGAGTGAAATTTACAAACAGCATGGGACTCAATCCGGTGCAACCAAAATGTGCCTTTATCCCTGTACCCCCACCCCCAAACTCTGGGAATTACTTCTGCCTCTGAATGAAGTTTCCACAGGGTCCATCACTTTTCTGATTGCTCTTACATAACAAACATTCTGCTTGTCATTTTCATTCCCAAGAAGCCTCAATTTGAACACTGCAATTTGCAGCAATTTACAGCCTAATAAGTATACAATTCACAGAACTCTATAAATTAGCTAATTTAGCTTCCCTTTCAACCCAGTTTTAGAAATGAAAGGTTTCCAGGTGAGGTGGGTGGGGCTGCAGCCAACACGCCCGTGAGTACCAGGTGCTCCCTCCTTCAGGCATTTACCAGTTACAAAGGGGAAGGGGCTGCAGCCCAGTCAAGCAATGGAACGGAGCGCTTCAGCATCAGAACCACAGCCAGCCGAAGAATCTGACTGCAGCTCTCTCCCCGAGCATGTCCCTGTGTGCAGGGTGATGTCTGAAAGCTTCCCTTTGTACGTGCAAATGATCCTGTATCATTTGGAGCTTCAGAGAAATATAAAATGTATATATATTCACCCTCCACGTCTAGAACAGAGTTGTCCAAAATTTTCTGTGATGAGGGAAATGTTCTATATCTGTACTGTATAGCATAGGCACATGCCATGTGTGGCTCTAATAAGAAAATAAAATTTAATAGAAATTCAGATTAAATATCTAATATGGTTAGCAGCCAGCCTGTTGGTCAGTGCAGGTCTAGAACACTGAGCCCCTCTTAATTACTGCCCAAGTGCTGTGATGATGCCGGGCCAGCATGCACCGCACAGTTCAGAAAGTTAAACGTACAGAGTCGTGGTCTTTTGGGATCATGGGAACCTACCTTAAGTGTGACAGAATTTCACTCCTGTTTCTACCTTTGCAATCTGGCACATTAACTTTATTCATGGGATGAAACAAATGTCTATTGAGCCTCTATTAACAGCAATGGAATTAAAACTTTCCAAAACATAATCCAGGAATACATATCCTTCACTTTTCTTAATGTTTTGCAACTCATTTTTATAAGCCTGTGTAGATAGGGAAATAAGATGCCAGAAGACAGAAACCCCAAAATAAAGCAGGAATACAAATACTGCTTTAACGAGAGAAACCTGGACTGCAGGCCCACAGTTGGTATGGCTGTGTGATGACTTCAAGGATACAAGCTCTTTCTTCCTTGTGGGTCCACTGTCCTCGACAATTACCTTCAGACCAGTGGCATTCTAAAGAAGGGGAAAGGGCTGGCAAAGCACACTCATTCTTTTAATAAGCAAACATCACTGCTGTCACACCTCTTTAAACAGAACTTAATGCAATGACCACACCTAGTTTCAAAGGAGTCTGGGAAGTGCTTACGTTTCCTCCCTACCTGTAAGGTAGGTGTAACAAGTTACAATATGGGGTTTACTAAGGACAAAAAAGGGAATGGAAGTTGAGAGATGAGTAGCAGTCTCTGCCAAAGAAAACAGAAATGTTTTGAATTCCGCAATGATGCAAAATGTCTACATTCCAGTGGTGAAATTGGAGAGATAACTGGAAAAACCAAAAACCACTTTTACACATCCTCTCATTCACCAAGAAATTCAAATGTAAAACAAAATTAGAAGAGTTAAATTAATGCAATTACTTTTTCTTTACTGATCTAAATATTCTAAGTTCTGTATTTAAAGCAGCAAATAGGACTTCTGGCCAAGATGGAGGCATAGGTAGATACACTGCCTCCTTGCACAAGCAAAAGGACAACACATTTAAAAACAAAAAACAACATACCTGCCAGAAAATCAAACTGTATGGAAATCTGACAACCAAGAAGTTAAAGAAGAAACATTCATTCAGACAAGTAGCCAGGGTGGAAAGGACTCACAGCAAGTCGACGGCTGGAGGACCTGGGTTGGGGAAGTGGAGGCTGGTAGAACGGTGGTCCCACATTTGTGTGAGGATAAACCGGGAGGAACAACTGGGAACAAGAAAGACCTCGCAACCCAGGATTCCAGCGTGGGTAAATAAAGCCTCAAAACCTCTGACTGAAAAAACCTGTGAGAATTGAGGCAGCAGGAGAAACTCCGGGCCTCACAGGAGTTTTTTGGAGAGACCCACAGGGTCCTAAAACATCCACAATCCTACCCGTACAGGAATCAGCACCAGAAGGGACCAATTTGCTTGTGGGTAATGCAGGAAGTGACTGAAAACTGGCCAAGAGGCCAGAAAGCAGCGCTCACTATTCCTTCCACGACCTCTCCCCAACCTACAGGGCCACAAGGCAATGATGTGGGTTGCCCCGCCCTGGGAACACCTAAGGCTCTGCCCCTACTACTTAACAGGTGCGCCGAGGAGAAAAATGGCCCAAATGAAAGAACAGATCAAAGCTCCAGAAAAAAATACAACTAAGCCATGAAGAGATAGCCAATCTATCAGATGAACAGTTCAAAACACTGGTTATCAGAATGCTCACTGAATTGGTTGATATGTTCACAAAGTAGAGGAAAGGGTGAAGGCTATGAAAAGTGAAAGAAAAGGAAATGTCCAGGTAACCAACAGTGACAGGAACTCAAATTAACAGTTTGGAACAGAGGGAAGAAATATACATTCAACTGGAATGGAATGAAGAACCAATATAAAAAAATGAGATGCTTAGGAATCTCTGGGACAACTTGAAGCATTCCAACATCTGAATCGTAAAAGTGCCAAAAGGAGAAGAGGAAGAGCAAGAAATTGAAAACATAATGAAGGAGAACTTCCCTAATCTCACAAAGGAAATAGACTTCCACAAAGTCCAGGAAGCTCAGAGAGTCCCAAAGAAGTTGGGCCCAAGGAAGCACATAACAAGGCACATCATAATTACATTATTAAAGATAAGTCCAATATTAAAGATAAGAGGAGAAACTGAAAAGCAGCAAGAGAAAAGGAACAGTTACCTCCTGTAGGAGACCGTTCTGCTTGGTGTGGGCCCAGCTCCTATA